ATTAGAAGGAAGGTCCAGGTATAGAATGCTTTGATGGCTGGTTAGACCAGCAGTACTAGGCCCAAAGAGTCTCTGCAACAAATATCTGGATAAAACCTGCAGATTTTCACATTATACAAATTAAAACTTTGGTGATATGGAATAGAAGGGTACCATTAAAAGTTGCTGCTTTTGCTTGGACAGTGATGCAAAATAGAATCCCAACAAAAGAGAATCTACAGAAACGTGAAGTGCTGGGCAGTGAAGAAGACTGGTCATGTGTTTTATGTGGGAAAGAGGCTGAAAGCATAGACCATCTTTTGTTTTCATGTCCAATAGCATGGAAGGTGTGGTCATCGTGTTATCAGTGTTGGGGTATTAATGTGGTGCCCCAAGAAAAGGGTTGGAACTACCTGATCCAGCACGCAGGACTTTTCAACCACAAATTTGCAAAGAAAGCTTGGAAGGTGATTTGGTTTGCAGTTGTATGGAATATTTGGCTATGGAGAAATCAAAAGATCCTTAAGGCAAAATTGGAACCTCAATACAAGATGATCGAGGTGATTAAATTCCAAACCTTCCAATGGATTAAAGCTAAACAGTGGCCAGAAATCTCAAAGGAGATATGCTATATATGTCCTGCTCACGATTGTGAAACAGCATCAAAAAGGGTGCCTTAATTGCCCAGCAAAGTTCACACAGGGATGAAAACAGTTGCAGGATAAGGAAGGTAATGTCATCACTGTTTGGATGATTTACATTTTGGGGTAGACTTTCTTATGAATGTGTTGATTGTATCACCCTACTCTTATAAACTGCTCTTTTTGTATGGGTGGGAGTACCCCTTGTACTCCAACTTAATGATACTATCTTTGGCTGATCAAAAAAAAAAAAAAAAACTTTGCTAATATATTATTTTCAATTAAAATCTAAATCCTTTGTATTATTATACCCTAACATATCCACTCTAGCCAGAATGAAAAAGATGAAGAAAAAAGGAGCTACAAGATGAGATCACAGTACCAAAAATTTAAGAAAATAAAAAATGTGTCTGATTAAAAAATTATCCGGAAGAACATCTGTCCCCTCTGTCCCAGTCTCCACCCGAAAAATAAATAAACAAAACAACAAAAAATTATAGCTTCCTTCAGATAAATATAAGCAAAGAAGTGAACTGAACTGAGGCCAGGTGGATAAAGATTTGTTATTAGATAAAGTAACTCTCCCCGAAGAATACATTGTTAAGGTTTCAATAATGATGTACAACATGTTGTAAAAGATAAACCATAATAACTTCCAAATGCATGCTAATCAATCCTTACAAACAAAGTTTCTAAGGGAAGAGCTTGCTAGGAGCAAAAATACAGAGTAAAAGATAAACTGTGTCCTTCGTATATTAGCGGAAATGAAATAAAAACTCTTCAAACATTCAAACCTAATTAATCATTTCCTATTGCAAAACCTAGCTAACTCAGAAAATGTAAAGGTCAAGCAAGTTACCCCAAGAATTCCAAAAACAGCTAAATGGAGAAGACAATATATATACTCCAAAAACAAAGGCAGAGCTTCATCTTCATCCTGAAAGTGAAGACAGGAATAACATGATGCAAATGTAAATATAACGAAAAATTATTTCTAATACATGTTATCACCAATAACAACACAAACCAGAAACCTGTGTCGAGATATTTAATCTGAATCACCGTTATAAACAATAAGCAAATCAAGGAAAAACAATACTGGAAGCTCACTTGATCTTTCTCCTCAGAGAAATTCAGTGCAGTTGTGGAAAGAGGAGATATGATTTCCTCTGGCATTGGTGACACAGGAGAGATTGCATTTTGCGTTGGTGGATCACGGCACCAAAATCCATATGATCGCAACATGTTATCTTCTGGAATTGGAAACACTGCACCACTCTCCAATGCGTTATCAATGGAAAAGCTTATTCTGCTACTCTGACTATGCCTACTGCTATGAAGAGCCAAATCACCAGCATCTCCTGCCAGAGAAACTGCCTCACTTTCAATGTCATCGTTTAATTGAAAGGAATGACCTCGTGATATACTCAAAGAGCGCCTTCTAAATGAAGAGCCTGCACTGCTTGTTGTACCAAACGACCCAATTCTTTTAGGTTCGATGTCATTACTCACAGGATCCATGGCCACTGAGTTCATTTCTCTTAGAAAAACTTCAAAAGTAGTAAAATGATCAAAGTCTACTCATGCACCAAAAGAGAGAGCTGCTTATGAGGTAATGTTATCAATGGCAGTGCTGGTTAATGATTCTCAACTGCTCTACAGATAAAGAAATTTTAAACAAATAAGAACAAGTGATTACACCCACATAAATTGTAAAACAAAAGGACAAACTTGGAAGATAACCAGATAAAAACAAGTATATATGTAAGATTGGCAACATATGACCCAAGAAATAAACATAAAAAATGTCCACACAATTAGAATATTCAAATAAATGGACAGAGTCAGACTTCTTTATGCCTTTCGAGACCATAAATGGATGTCTTCATCCAAGTTGATCATTACCACCTTAATGTTAAGGAGATTAGCTTTGGCTCATACTAAACTTTTAAGATTTTTTGCACCAAACTAAACATGTTCTTGGATTTAAAATAATCAACCAAATCACTTCAATAAGGTATTGTTAAACGACCCTTAGAGGGAAAACTACAAAGTTCAAATCCCTTCACCCTCTGACAAGTATGATATCTTGATCAACGCTATTAATTCAAACAACAACAACAACAACAAGAAGTTACAGAATATGCAGCTGCAAGCCTCTCTAAGCACTAAAACAACAGCAAGAAGAATTCTTTAACTGGAAGGCAATCATTTATCTGCTCAGCTCTCCAGGGAAAAAATATAGCAACATCCATTTACATTTTGTGGCTCATGGTCATGGTAAAAGAAATCAAATAGACACAAAGAGAGACAAGCGATAAAATAAAATACAACTTATGGTTCCATTTACGGCAAGGTCTAATACAGAACGTGGGAGCTAAAACAACTGCCAAATTGATTATTTACATTTATATAAAAAAATGAAAAATAAAAAAAGCTAGCTATGAACCATGAGATTTGTGTTGTGGCCGAAGCTATAAAGAATCACCTCTTAACATGCCCCACATGGGATATGAAAGCAGCAAATTGCAACAGTCTTGATAGCTTAGTTAAATATTAACAAAGAGAAGCCCATCTAATCTAACACCTACCAACTTTTCTATCATTCATATTATGCTGTCACTTCCAATATAATAACCATAATAATGTGGTAAAAACAGATTTCAAACCAAAGTGGGTTTTGATTCTTGTTGTTTTCAACCAATCCCTGAATCCTTAAGAGAGGAAGAGACCCAACTTAGCATTAGCAGCAAACAAAAAAATTCTGCGCGAAAGTGTAAAGTGGATCCCACTGCTTAAAGGCACTAACTTTGAAGCTGTAGATGGATGAACTCAATGCGTCTAATATCAACTGTCTTTGTCTTTTCCACTGTTTAAAGATGTGCCCACCATTACAGGAACAAACTTTTTTTTCTTTAGAAAAAAAAAGAAAGAAAGAAAGAAAGAAAAAGAAAAATGCATGAAATTGGGTCTGAGCTGAATTTAATAAGGAGTGAATCAATTAATGCATGAATGATCTTGTTATCAGTCCGTTAATGGATTGACATAAAAAGGTTCCTCATTCCTCAACGAATGGACAATAAATGAAAAGAAAATGAAGGGAAAGAAGGGGAAGACATACCAAGGCTTTTGCGAGAGGTGATATCGTTCAGAATCGGCAATCTTATTCCAGCCGGCGAATGCGAAGGTTGCTTGAGTTCTTGGAGCTGC